CACACGCGTTACAGTATGCTCCTATTCTTTTTATGCTCAGCTACTAAGATTTCCCTTCAGTGGTAAAATTCAATATCTACAATGGGCACAGTAAAGACGTTTACAGTAAGTCTTTCTACGACAGACCAACGGACCACGAGTGCCCCTGTCTGTCAACCAATCACGTACCGCGTCATCTTGCATCATGATAAGCGATACCGCAGCCAATTACCTGCGGTACGTGTCTGTACCACGCACTTTGAATGGCTGCATCTGTAGTAGAAGCCAAATATGTGTATTTGGATTGAGAGTTAAAAAAAAACAAACAAGTGTACATACATGGGATGATTGTTCGAATTGAGGCAAAGTAATCAGAAAAGTATGCTAATAGTACTCTTTATAATTTAACTTAGTGATCTAGATTCTGTTGAAGCTTGCAGATGATACCAAAATAGGAGAAAAAGCAAACTCTATAGAAGCTAAAGGACAAATTCAAAAGATTTGTGTTTGTTACTCTGACTGAAAATTACAAATAAGTTCAATATATTTTATTTCTGGATGTTTTCATACAGTAGATACATTTACTAATATTAAATATTAATCAAAAAAGGTACTTGTGACTTCATTGACTATAGGTCACTATAGTAAAATGTGAAATTACTGAGTTTAATTTGGTCCTCTACATTATTCCATCAATACTTTTCTATAATGTGTCAAACTCTTGAGATTTTCTCAGTTGAAAAGTTGGAGAAATGTATGTAGGTGTGCTAGTTCAATGGCCAGGGCTACTTTGCCCTTTCCTCTATGATTGGTTTTAAATATTGCACTAATTTGATCTCTGAGATTCTAGAGCAATGGTAATTGGCCCAGATGAAGTCAGTGAGTCAAGATGTAAGCATGCAAGTGCTTTCCAAATAGGCTTTTCTATATAAAAATAGCTATGATGGTTAGAAATGGGCTAATAGATCAGTTTATCCAAATACAGGAATAACGACACTCAAGAATTAGGCTTATTAAAAGACTTATTGAGTGTTTTAAGTTACAATAATTTATCTTAACCTGCTTGGTCCTGGCTATAGGACGAGCACCCCATGCAGAGTGAGCGGAGATGGGGTGGGGATGGGATACCAAAGACATTAGCGAGGGAGAGAAGGGAATAATATATTGGATTTATAATATTTAGATGGGGAAATGACATCATGACATCATAATTGATTACAAAATACAGGCAGCTGAGGCTGATTGAAAGTGGCTGTTGTCATCCCTCCCAAACTTTCATTATAAACTCCATTAGTCATTCAGTTGCATCTACACTTCCTGCTCTGTATTATTTTTACAGGGTAATTTTCAAAGCTGTTTTCCCCCAGTTGAAAATTTAGCAAAAGATAATTAAGTACGGAAATTGCTTTGAAGGCTTCCAGTTCATATTAATGGCACAAACTGAAGAATTTAATGTTTCACAGACTATATAAATACTATTGCGTTTTCAGCTGTAAATACATTCATTTCATTTTTTAGACAGTGATTTGCATATTTAATAAGCAATCAAATATTATGTTGAATGATATTATCAAAGGAAGCTTTCCTTCCAATCACACATAGAAAACAGAGTCATCACAATTCATTTCTGTAATTAGAAATGAACTTTTATAACATATAAATTTGTTTCACTACTTCAGATGATCAAAATGATGATTGACAGTAAAATGCTCTTTTTCTTATTTAGAAATATCCCCAGTAAGTAAGATTAAACTGTACTGTATGTGAGTAACTTTCTAAATTTGTGTGGTAGCCCAATTACCATTTAGTCTTCCAACTGTCAGCATAGTATCATTGGACATGTCAAACTATGAAATGAAAACAGTGTTTCTAATTAAATAAGTTTTCAATTCAGAAATCAAAGTTTGTATTTCAATGGGAAGCAACTATTCATATACAGTTTACATTTTCATACAAAACATGCATTAGCCAAGTGAATGTCACAAGCAGTTTACATTTGAAATGTATTACAAACACATGTCTTACTGCATCAATGCATCCTGCAAAACATGGAGAGAGATATGTAGTGCCATCAGAGCCACAGATAGGATTTAACGTCTCAAAATTGCACTGGCAGCCTTCATTGCATCTTGCTGTGAGATTCCTTGGAAGTTTCCATTCACTACTGAAAGAAAATAAAATTATTAATTCATTCCCTAAAGAAATTCCATTGCAATTCAAGAATTTGTTGTTATCACACACATTGAGATTTCCATTTAAAAACGTATCACAAAAGCAAACATGAGACAATTTAAAGAACATGGTGGGAGATCTGAACAGTAATTTATCCCTTCACTAAAAAAATGTAAAGCACGCCTTTTTTGTGTTTATCACAGTATTGACAGCGGAGCTATCGCTTTCTGGCCTGATCTCGTGTGATCTCAGAAATTAAATGATGCTGGGTCTGTACAGTACAGAGATGGGAGATTTAAGGAAAATAAAGTTGCAGCTTGGGTGTTGTATATTGGATGGTTTTGAAAAACCAGGATGTGCAACACTTCCCTCTGGATCAGAATTTCCAATACAACACCCCATTTACTTTGACTAGGACATTGTGCTGTAGGAGGTGCCATCCTTCAAACGAGAAATTAAACAGAGGTCCTGAATGTTTGGGCATTAAAAGTCCTACAGCACTGTTAATAACTGTAGTCTGTTGTCCTGTGAGTGAAATTCCACTTATACTGAACATTGCTCAATTTGGCCTCCCCTAATTCCTCCCTTAATTGCAATGGTGAAGTAATTTCTCACCTTTGTACCTCCTGAGTATTGGTGCTGCTGCCACATGAATTCTGCCATGCACCATCCATGTTGGTGCTGCAGTTCAGTGGTGGATGAAGTGGGTTCCCACTTATACAGTATGTAAAATGCTTTGTGATGAAGAGTGGTATATACAGTAGATGCAATCAAACCATAACAAGTAGGTACTAATGTGCCTCACCCATTTAGAATTTGCTTTCACTAAGCCTTAATAAGCTGCAAATGACAAAACTGCATGTCATTGGATATAATTAATTTAAAATCATAATACACATTTAGCCATTGAAAACAACCAAATGATCTTTAAAATTATCTGCACTTGCCATTCCAAGGCTAAATCTCAATGGAATATTATGGACAGATATATACTGCAAAGGCATTGTGTTAATTCATAGGTACTGAAGAAATCATTTACATAAGAACTACTGTGAATGTATAATGTATACCTTCTTCTAGAAAATCTTTCTGAATAGTGTATGAGTCACTGAATCTGTCAGTGGAGTGGAAAATTGGACAACACAAAGCTCTGCCATATGCTTTAAAGGTCAGATAGTTAAGATGCCCTTCTCACTTTAATCTGTAAAAAAAATAATGCTGTTTCTCCACATCTTATCTTACTTCTGACACTATACATAACCATTTCCTTCTTATTTCTTTGGTTAGAGTTTTTGTAAATAATTTAAAATATCAATTTAATGTAAATTCTCAGTTAAAAATAAAATTAGTCCTGGAATCAGCCTCAGATATGAGAGTAGTTTTGTTAAAATATTTTAGGTGTATATAGGATATTTTGTAACTTAGTAGTTTACCACTTGAATAAATATGGCAGTAAGAGCAACTAGGTGTATAGTCTGGGCCTTGTGTAACTCAATTCTCCTATTTTTATCAATGCAAACTTATCAATACTTTTTGTTCTATCCACATGATTTGAAATACTGAAGTTGTGTGTTTTTCATATCTGAGCTTACAGCTGCAATGCATTTCATTACATTTTTTCAGAGACTTTAGTCCAAGGTTATTTTGACTTTTATCATTTGAGTTGACTTCTATCATTTGTCAGAGACTTTTATCCAAAGCTACTTACAATCACATGCAGTCAAGATACAAAGGGTCAGGACGCAAAGGGTCAAACATCAGCATAACACAATGATAAAACTACAGCCACTATAAGTGTGGCATTAATTAAGTACTAACATGTTGCACTGTTCTAAGGAGTTTCAGAGCAGCTTGATAGACAGAAGTAGTGATATACTGTAGGGGTACAGTCAGGAAGGGTTAGTTATGGGATTCTGGGCTTCCTGAATAGATGAGTTTTCAGCTTCTTATGGAAGATGTGAAGTCAGAAACTTCTGACTGTGGCAACTAGGTCATTTCTGCACAGAGAACAGTTAGGCCCAGGAAATGCAGCATATCAGCACTGGCTTGAGGTACCCAATCTCAGTCCCTTGTGGGAAACTACAGCCTCTACATGGTCTGGAGGTATACAGTTGCAGTTACCTTAAAGTTTTGAATCTGGCATGGGCTGCTATTGGGAAGCGAATGTAGAGAGATGAGGAAAGAGGAAACATTAGTGTTTTGGCAGATTAAAGACTATGTTGGCTGCAGGGCTCCGTATGAGCCAGAGTAGTCAGACGCACAGGCTAAAAGGGATCAGCACGCTCAAGTGAGTGCCTTTAATGGCTCAGACTTTATTTTTTTACATTATCTACCAGGAACTGATCTTGAAAATGAAAACCCTCTCTACGGTCATTGAAGCCCAATTGTGGTCAGATGTTTCTCAGTTGAAGTAAAGCCCACCTGAACCACATGTTAATAAATCTGACCTGTCCTTCCTACTTTTCTGTCGGAAACATCAAGATATCAACTAAACTACTCCATGGACTTCTCCTAAAGAAAGATTTAGTAATCAATAATTTACTGTGGAATTAATAGGGAAAATATACCCTGATGAAAAATAACAACAAGAACCATTTTAAAAGAAAACGGGAAATTGGATATTATTGATTTACAATACAAAAGGCTTTTATTTGACATTACAAAGATTTAAAGAGTTCCTATAGTATACAGGTACACATATAAATAAATTATTAAATACCTTTATATACTTCTCAAGTTCCCCAAATGAAGTAGTATGATTCGACCAATTTGAAAACAATTGTCATTTCAGTGTGGAAAAGCAAATCCTCAAAGGAACACTACATGTCATTAAATAATTTGAGGATCCTGGAACATACAGTAAGAGAATGCATTTAATATTACTCAGCAGGTGCATATGAGCCCTTTAAGATATTTCAAGAGCTTGGACAATCCCAATTTAGATGAATAAGAAAGAAGTAAATAATTCTGATTTTTGTGTGGCTGAACCCATGTCCCTTGGGAAACTACCACATTGCTATAACGATAAGCCCTTCTGAATGCACCTCTAACTAGTATGAATGAAGGAACTGCTGCACAGATGGAGACTGCAGAGCAGGAGGGATGTGCAGCAAGAACACAAAATAGAAGTGTATACTGTAGGTGGTACTGGTATAGGTGAACAGAAATGAGTACAAATTTAGAGTTGGCCCTCCACCCTCCCCATGTTAAAAAGTCTTTTAGTTAAATATCTCTTCTATAACTCCATATGATTAACAAAACTAATAATGGAATATGGAGGTTTAAACAAAGAATCTGGAGAACATCAAACCCTAATCTCCCCCACATCTAAATATCACACCTTCAAATAAATATCACACTTCTTGCTTACTCACTTGTGTGTTTCATTTACACATCCCATCCCTCTCTTCACCACATCTTCACCCTTGCAGCAGTTCCCTGCTTTATCCTTCATTATCATCCTTAATTAAAGAGGGGAATTCCAAGAACCCCATCCTTATGGATCAGCTGTCATTTTCCTTTACCCTGCAAGAGCTTACTAATTTGAATCACGCCTTTTCTCTGTCTTAATTAGTCCAAACTACTGAAAGAGAACTTAAAGGAAATGGCATGGGAAAATATAGATGTGGCAGCAGTAGAGAAGAATGGATTGCGACAGTGTAAAAGATTTTTTGCTTGAAGCACCGAGCAGATTTTAGCTAAGAGTAAATCATCGAAGAATTGAATCTGAGACCCTGCCTTCTTTCAAGAAACAACTACATGAAATCCTTAGATTGTTTACTATCAGTTCATTTTCACTTCTATCTCTCCACACCATTTTTACCCTTAGAGCATATCTCTGGTTCAATAGCAACTACTACTACTACTACTAATTATTATTATTATTATTATTATTATGGATGTATATTTTATAGAAATAATATTTACATAATTCCCAACAAAGTGAAAGAACAATGGGATTCAAAACTGAAATTGTTTAAATTTGCTGACAAATATCAGAGTGCAAAGTCCAGCTTGCATGATTGAGAAAGTGAGTGATACAGCTGCAAATTTGGCAATCAGTTATCCAAGTAGTACACTCAATTGCAAAAGAGAAACAAAACAGAAAAAAAATATTTTAAACTTTAACCACGTTTAACCATGTTTTGCTCATATGTGCTGCTTGTACATATCCAGAGCAGAGGCCTATAGACACATACACATAATACATCATGAAACCTACTGTATGTACATTAAATAGTCTGGTAACAATTTTAGTGTCAATTGGAACCGTATTTTAGTTCCAATCAAGTGTTGTGCAAGTAGTGAAACCTTTTACTTTAGAGTTTTTTCCCTATAGATACATTACTTACATTCATGGTACTATATTGGCCATGTGTAATACCATAACAAATTATTTTGTAAGGTTTGTGTAACACATTTCACCTTTTCATTGGCGGTTGTTTGAATTCCTATTATCATTGTGCCTTAATGCTTTACTTTACCACAGCCCATACAAGAACACAACACCACCTACAGGAAAAATTTAGTTTACTTGCAAACATTAAATCATAGAAATTCATTGCAGTTCTAAATAAAAAATTTAGAAATGAATGAATAAGAGAGCTAAAATATACTTTGACACTTCCCAGGTGATATTACATTACATTATTTGTTTATTTGTTTAAAAGTATTTGTTAAGAAAATAATTAACAAAACTACATGTCAGGTTTTAATTTGTGTTAATAGTTTAGGACTATTTTTTCCAGAGGACTATTATAAAAATAGGCACAACAGATACAATCCCATGAGTCAGAATTCAGAAATAGAAATTTGGACCCATTTCATAGCTTTTGAATCAATTCAAGTTTAATGTGTGCAAAATGTGTATCAAGAGAGGTAAAGCAGCAAAAATGGATGAGAATGTTGTGAGAACATGGATGAGAACATGGTATGGATTCTGTTGCCAGAAAGACAGCAATGTTAAAAGAAGATGCTTACACTAAAAGATAC